ACTTCACTGTTTGTTTGTCTGGGGTAGGACATCAGCTGCCAGCTCTCACCAAGTCACTTCAGCCCTGTGCAAACAGGACCTGGTTCATTCTTCACGGAGAAGCTGAAGGGCTGGGGGACACAGGATGCACTCTGTGATAACTGGAATTGCCAAGCCCTCGATTGTGGCTGGCCTGGACCACTTCATCTCTCTACTCCCTAAAGGTTTTCCCTGCAGTCAAAGCCCTTTTTAAAGCTCTTTTCCTGATCAAGCTTCAGGAAAGAAACATGGAGCTGGTTCATTCTTCATGTGCGACAGGGAAGCTGACACAGTTGTCCCTGTGACAACTGGAATTGCAAAGCCCTGGATTTTGGCTGGCCTGGACCATTTCATCTCTCTGCTCCCCAAAGCTTTTCCCTGCAATCCAAGCCCTTTTTAAGGCCCTTTTCCTAATCAAGCTTCAGGAAAGAAACCCACAACTTTCATTTTACACTGTAACAGCTTCCTGTAACCTTACCACACTCTGAGCCTCTGAAAAGTTCATTATTTTATTATTTTTATTGTTGTTGCCGCTCATGGACTGTTTTGACAGCTTCAAATTATTGACAGCTACAAATTATTTACAAATCTTGAGCACACCAAACCTAGCAGAGAAACTGAGTTTTGTCTCTGTGCATTTTCTGGTAGAAGCAGTTGCCATCAGGTGGGTTCAGCACTAACAGCCCCACAGAAGTCTCTTATCCATAAATATGCTCTTATTTAAAAATTGGATTATATCCACGTGGATAAGCCAATTTATGACTGCCCCAATGCTGCTTTCCAAATACATAGTGCAAATAATTTTTCTCCCCGAGACATTTTAAATTATTAAAACTGAGCCAACAACTTGAAGCATCTAATTTATTTGTCACCTCTTCCACTGTTTACTTTTTTAGCTGTATGGGGACATCAAAATGAGATGGATCTGTTTTTAGTCAATTCTGAGTCCCCTGTGCTGGCTTTGCCTGTGCTGTTATGGAGAAATTCATTAAATGGGCTCCTGTGTCTGGGTGCAGGTTGTGAAAGCATTTTCTGTCTGTAATTACTTTATTTTTTAGTACATCAGCAAGCTCTGCTTTAAACCTCACCCATCTAAAAGTGCCAGGGCTGGAGAGGGGAGTTTGGGAATCAGCAGCTGCATTTGTCAGGTGCCATGGGTGCAAGAGCAGGATTTTCAGATGTTATGACAAAACCAGAGATTTTGGGCAGGCAGGAAGGGAGGTGATGAGCTCACAGAATATCCTGAGCTGGAGAGGAGCCAGAAGGATCACTCAGTCCAGGTGCTGGCCATTTAATTATGTTGTTTTTAATGTACAGTGTAAAAACCATCCCTGATCTCTGAAACTGTTCAGAACCAGCTGAGTCTGACAGCACCACTGATCTTGGAGGGTTCACAAATGGTTTTTCTCAGGAGATGGATGGGCTGTGGGGCTGTGGGACATCCCCACTAAAAATCTGCTCAAACCCTCCTGAGCCCTGAAGCTTTTTGGGGGTAGTTGAATCAAACCCCATTTATTTGAAATTATTTGGTTTTTTTTAGGAGATGTGCTGTGGGACACCCCCATTTCTGTCTCTAAAAATCTGCTTAAGCCTCCTTGAACCCTGAAGCTTTTTGGGGACAGTAGAATTGAAACCCATCTTCTCTGCAGGAAATTATTTGATTTTTTCTTAGGAGATGGGCTGTGGGACATCCCCACTAAAAATCTGCTCAAACTCCCTGAGCCCTGAAGCTTTTTGGGGATGGTTGAATTGAAACCCATTGTCTTTGCAGGAAATTATTTGGTTTTTCTCAGGAGATGGGCTGTGGGACATCCTCACTTTTGTCTCTTAAAATCTTCTCAAAGCCCCCTGAGCCTTGAAGCTTTTTGGGGACGGTTGAATTGAAACCCATTGTCTTTGCAGGAAATTATTGGAGTTTTCTCAGGAGATGGGTTCTGGGACATCCCTACTAAAAATCTGCTTAAACCCTCCTGAGCCCTGAAGCTTTTTGGGGACGGTTAAATTGAAACCCATTGTCTTTGCAGGAAATTATTGGAGTTTTCTCAGGAGATGGGCTGTGGGACATCCCCACTAAAAATCTCCCCAAACTCCCCTGAGCCCTGAAGCTTCTTGGGGACGGTTGAATCAAACCCCTTTGTATTTCCTGGAAATCATTTGATTTTTCTCAGGAGATGGGTTCTGGGACATCCCCACTAAAAATCTGCTCAAACCCTCCTGAGCCCTGAAGCTTTTTGGGGACGGTTGAGTCAAGCCCCATTGTCTCTGCAGGAAATGATTTGGTTTTTCTCAGGAGATGGGCTTTGGGACTCCTTTTCTCAGGAACTGGACTTTGGGACATCCCCATTCTGCCTCTAAAGATCTCCAACCCCCTGAAGTCCCACTGCCATTGTCCCCGCAGGAAATTATTTGATCCTCGATGGATACGGGGCGGTGCAGGAGAGCTCCACGGACGAGGAGGTGTCGGCGCTGGTGCTGCAGTGCACC